ACGTTAGGTTTCCCGTAAAAGTTCGAATGAAACGTATGGAAATTGAAATTAATTTAAATTAATAATGATATAGAAGATGGTTACATAACAATAATTATACTCTGTTTCTAAATTATGCTTCATTGGCCCAGTTTCCAATATAAAAAATTACAATAATAAACGACTTTCTGCAAAAGGACTCCGCACACTTTTTTTCAAATTTCAACAAATAGCCGTTATTTAAACTGTTATAATTTCGTAAAACCAAAATCGTATAAAAATATGCCTCGACTGATTTTAAAGCTTGAAGTTTCTACTTTTGCTATACATAGTTCATTTTCATGTAACATGTGTCCGCATGATATAGCAAGTGCGAAACTGGAGGCATGCCCTTTCTTGAAAGTGGTGCAGATTGAAACGACTGTAAAAACGTCGGAAAATTTTTCTTACGACTGATGTTGACGAAGATTTGAAGATTGAAGCCTCCTCTTTACAACGACCGCTTGAACTTTGAGATATGATTTTTTTTTAATCACTTCATAGAGCTCTGAATGGGAGGTGTATTTTACAGTAATACAAGGCACACGAAGATTTTACGCGACCAAACCCGGTTTCTGGTTCATAAAACGAGTACAAAAAATCGCACACCAAATTTTAATAGGTCACTGCATAGAGGAGGCTTTAATCTTTAAATCTATGGCGAATTCATTCGTGACAAAAACTTTCCAATCATTTTAAAAAACGTTTCAATTTACAGTATTTTTGAGTAAAATTATGTCTTCAGATATTCGCCTACTGACTCATGTAAAAGTATATTATTAGCGCAATGGCCATTACACTGAGGATATCTCTGCAACTTCTATTATCTGAAAACTCTAACGTTTCGAAACCGACCTTTTTAATGGAAAATCCTGTAGACAGAATTTAATCAACATTTATACAATATCCGATATCTTCAATAAATCGTGCTTCCTATGCAAGATTAAACCCACAACAAATACAAGAACAGACATTCCAAGCTCGAAGACTTTTGCGCGTAGTCGGCACATTTTCAAGTTCTTTCAACACTTTACAAACATGATTGTAACTTATAAGATATCAGACTGTTAAATTAAATTATAAAATATGTTGCGAAATAGATTTTATTTAGATTCAATTACACAAATAAGTTTTATGATTGGATTTTTTATTTTAAATCGCATTTCATTCATTCATTTTTCCGGACGGTAATGTGTTAATTCGAATGAACTAATTCGAAAGAACCTCCAAATATCCGAAATGATTTCAAAACATCCAAAAACAAATTCATCTGTCCCGCGTCTCCAAGTCTCTCCTAAAAACAACCCTCGGCGGTCTCGAATCGACTAATTAAACATACAAAAATTCCTTCGGCCATTGTTTCGCCGGCCACAAAGAGGCGCATCAGCCCCTCCCCACTAAAAGGAACAATGGCACCGTTCTTCGTCGGAATCGTCCGGCGATTCCGTGGAGCCGGCCGTGGCTCTGTGACCGATGCCTTTGCTCAATTAGCTAATGCGTCCGGCGTAAGTAGACGAACAAATACCGAGAGCGCAACCATTAGTAGGACGTGCGCGGCCCGTTGATAGTTTGCACTAATTGTAAGTAGCGAGTAATTAATGCGGTCGGTTCTAGTCCAATCTGTCGAACCGCTGACCAGCGGGATGCGGAAGAGGAGATACAGAGAAAAAGAGGGAGACGGCCGCGCGCGCGGATCGGTAGCCGGCAAAGGACGAGTAACACAGAGGGGTGGGTGGGTGGACAGCGGGAGGGTGGCCTGGGGTGGTAGGAAATGGTCGACGGAGGCTGTGGGGGGTGGCTCGAAGGAGGGGGCTGTTCCGGCTCGGGTACCGGCATTGTTTCACGGTGGATGAGAATTTAATTTGCGCGACGAAGAGGGCGCGAGGCCGGCGGAGGGGTGGAACGCGGAAGAGGAAGACAGAGCGAGACGGAGCAAGATAGAGAGAAACAGTGGGAAACAGAGAGAGGCAGAGAGAGAGAGAGAGAGAGAGAGAGAGAGTAGAGGAAACCGTGGGGAGAGAGAGGCAGCCGGGGTAGGGGGTGCGGGTGAAGGTGGAAGGTGGTTGGATGGGTGCTGCCTTGTTTAAGCGTGGGTGGGGGGGTGTCAAATTGAATTACCCCCTGGTTCCGGGTCCCCGGGGACATTTGCTGGAGCGCTGCCGGTCTCTCTGTGTTTCTACATCAGAGCCACGCTCGCTTGTAGATGAGTTTTATCTGCGTACACCGTTGTACGTGCACCCCCGTACGCGGCCCACCGTTATACAGAGAGTATACCTTCATGGAGGCGTTTTCAATTAAAATCAACACCGAGGGTTGCCTCGGCCCCTCCTCCCCTATCGTCCTCTCTTTCTGCCTCCTACAACCTACCTCTGGTATCTTTCTCCCTCTCTGTCCATTGCTGTCTCCATTTCTCTCTCTCTCTCTCTCTCTCTCTCTCTCTCGCTCTCTCCCTCTCTCTCCCTTCCTCTTCGTACCTGCGCAAAATCAGATCCGCTCCCGTTTTAACGTTTTTCCTCCCTGTCTCCCCGTCCCACCCCCACCGGCGTCTCCTTCTTCCTGCTTTTTATTTCGACGTTCTACCGCCGCGTCCCGCGACCCTGCCCCTCTCCGCGCTCCGCCGCGCGCCGCGCCGGCGGACGTTCTCTCATGAAAAATTCACAAACTGAATGAAATCTTCGCCGCGCGTTAAACTAATGGAAGCAGTCTGTAGCCCGGTTGGCCCGCCGCTGCATTTATTGCTACTGCGTCTTCCATCAAGGCGGGGAGACGCCTCGCCGGCTCGGCTAAGAGGATGAGGAACCCGACGCGACCCGGTCTACCTTTCCAACAGCACTTTCTTACGGGTTGTCTACCTTCTTCGATGCTCCTGTCCTTTCAGCCTCACCCCTCCTACCATGGGGCTGCCTTTGCGCGATTGCTGTCCTGAAAGAGCTCTCGCACGCTTTGGACCCGTCGCCCATGTTCTATCAAGTCGACCGCTGTCGTCGGTTACCTTCTCGATAGGAAATGCCGCGGAGTTCTCCGCGAGAGACGTTTCCTTTTATGTTTTTGCTGGTTACCGAGGATTTTTATTCGATTCCGCCGCGCCGCGAAACGCGTGTGCTTTGTTTAATTGATCCCGAATGGACGAGGCCGGAAACTTCCTCGGGGTCGAATTAAGTTTAGTAATTAACACGTTGTACGCGGCTTATTCCCGGCAATTTAACTGGAACAGTTTCACAATATATTCATCCAATTATTAATATTTTATTTAGTTCCTCGTCGTAAGCCGTGCCTTTAATATCTTCCCAGCGAAATTTAGTTTCTCATGAAACGCTGGTTTATGCAAACAGTTTGTGCAACTTTTCAACCGACAATATACGACGAGCATACATACTAACACGTGTCCCGCATACAATGTGCTAACAAAATCCGTGTCGCGTGTATCACCGATGGTACACGATTATGTATTTCTTTCAGAGATCGGTCGAAGCCTGATTTTTAGATTCGCAAAACTCGAATCCGAAACATTGCGAGCATTCCGAAATCTTGAGTAATTGTAGCGAGTTCAAATGAATACATAGGTATTCTCCAGTTGCTTAAATTTGTCCATCGTTCCGATTTTGGCCTGCTAACTTTGATTGTAAACGCATCAGATCCACAATTTATTAACACGATTGCCAGCAGCGTCTATTATAGCATTCAACGCTCTATAAAATGCAACGTATCTTTTGATACATGATTATTCATTTGATTATTCATTTTCACAGAAAAATTATAAATTCTGCGGACTTCTATATCCTGCAGTATCTAAACTTCTGTCGACATTCTGCACGCTACAATCCTCAATAACATGTATAAAATTAATCTAATTCTTCCTGCGTAGAATAAGAAATCGTTGCACATTTATAACGCTAAGGAATCTCTGTAACGGAACGGGTTGCTGGAAAATCATACGAAGGATTTTCTACGAGCGAAATGTGCTTAGAAGGACTGCGCGAACGAGTCTCACGGCCTGGAAATTCGTAGAATCGGGTCGCAGAAACCGGACGGCAAATTAAATTAATCTCGCTGAAAGTCTGGAAATTCACCGGTTCCAGCACGGACGATTATTTCTCCATTGAAAAAAATATCAGCGAGGAAGAGCCGTCTGAAAACGAGAAGCGCCGGATTCTTTTAATTACTGGGTTCGTTAAAGAACCAGAATTCGACGGCTTTAACAAATCCCTGCAGCGACTGCTTTCAGTGCAACTAATTACCGATATAGTCGCCGGCGACGATTAAAAATGGTCTTGCGAAACAACTTAACCACACTCTAGAACCACACGCGAGTGACGATCACTGTGATTCCCGAGATTCGATCCACGGTGGATCGGAATTAACCCATCAAAGACGATGTCTGCGCCGCGTACGGACGCCCCGTATCATTCCCATATGTATTGATAATTTATATAATTCTCCATAAAATAATCGAAATAAATTTTGCGCAAATTGTGTAAGGCCTTTCTGGATAAATCGCTATAATGTGTCGCAGTGCATAAAAAATAAAACGCTGAAAAAATGAAGAAACAATTTCACGGCATGAAGAACTGATTGTTACTATCGTCGGTCGGACGATAAGGAAACACAAATTATGCGTAGTCCTTGACGGGTTAATTAACATGACCGGACAGAGAAAATAATATCGAAAAAAATATCGGCAACACGCGATTCTATCGGCCAGCGAGAATTCGATGACAATTTTCGTAATCGATAAAATGTAATAAACATTATTACAATGGGAATAAGGACGGAATATCGCGTTCCTTTTTTTTTTGTTTTTGTTATCCATCGCGGCAACGTTGCCAGAGAAAAGTCGAATTGAAATCCGATGTAATTTGAGAACTGTTCATTAGCGCGTGTCCGCAGCACAGCCCGGCGCACGATAATTTATTAAACGGCCGATAAAATGCGCCGGGTCAAACGGATAGAAAAATTGATTGGTTGTTTGATTGTTTTTGCAGAATGGACGGGCCGACGGTATTATCGATGCCGCCGATAACCGCGCCCCAAAAATCAGCACAATCGCCGCAGCCGCAGTCGCATTCAAAATCGAATCAGGTATCGTATATCCCTCCGCATCGTAGAATCCGATTCCATCGATGTTCTATGTAAATAGATTTCGCTGTTCAAACCGCATCAATTTTTATTCGCCGACGTCAAACACGAACGGAGATCACAGATTTTTATAATCCGGATTTTCGGCCCGCGTCTAATCAATTATTCACTTGTGACGCGTCGAAACTCCCCGATGCGTAATAACACTCCAGATTCGAAAATAAATTGTTTTCAATTACATTCGCGACGTTTCACGAATTTCTTTCGCGTTAAACGAAAGCGGACCCATTGGAATTAGGCTTCCGAAATCGCGGAACGATTCGCGACATTGGCACTTTGACGAAGAAATTTGTTATTCATTTGAAATTGATTTGGAATTAGTTTGAAATTAATTTGAAATTTAAAATTAAAAGAAATTACTGCGTAACATTGTGTGTCTCGTACACTTGATAATATTTGACTGGATAATGGTTCGATGTCTGAAACGATTAAAATCGCACGCTCGTTAAGCGGAAATTGGATAGAACAAAGAGCTCTTCAAGCCGAAAGGAGTGATCGATAATTACGATGAAATGTTTATCGAATATCGACATGGTGAAGAGCCGCGTTGCGAATCTAAACCTATAGGAGTTGCAGGTGAGCACGGTGTCCCTCTACGGGATTCACATCGTCTCCCTCGTGATCGAGGGCCAGGAACGGCTCTGTTTGGCTCAGATTAGCAACACGTTGCTAAAACAGTTCAGCTACAACGAGATCCACAATCGGCGGGTCGCGCTGGGCATCACCTGCGTCCAATGCACCCCGGTGCAGCTCGAGATCCTCCGACGGGCCGGCGCCATGCCGACTTCGTCCAGAAGATGCGGCATGATTACGCGAAGAGAAGCCGAGCGTCTCTGCAAATCGTTCCTCGGCGACAACGCTCCGCCTAGGTTGGTCGAACATCTTCAAACACTCTTCACGAAAATTCGAAAATTCTCCGCATGAATCTTCGGCTGAAACAAACCTTGATTATTTTCTCCATTACGAGTTATCACAATGTAAACACGGAGACGTCAAACAAGCAGCAACATTCGTAAACAAAATGTAAATGAGTCTTCAGCCGGTGAACATTTTTAATGTTTGCACGGTTTCACATTTTACTGAGCTTCATCAAAAATCTGTAAAATATGCAGTCTAGTCAGAATGTAGCCGGAGAGACGTCAAACGAGCCGCAACATTGACAAACAAAGTTCAAATAAATCTTCAGCTAAAGGCTATTATGCACTTGATCTATTCAGTTTCCTCGTAAATGCATAAAATCCTTAGTGTCCAGTCGTAACGCACACAAAAAGACATCGTACAAGCTGCAACATTCGCAAACAAAATTCGAAAAGATCCTCAGCTTCCCCCTTTTAAACGCAACGAACTGTTCGTTCGAAGGCTTCCCGAGGACTTCGCGTTCTCTGTGCACCACGAATGCGCCTACGGTTGCAGCGGTGCATTCATCCCGGCGCGGTACAACAGTTCCCGCGCGAAGTGTATCAAATGCGCCTACTGTGGACTGTTCTTCTCTCCGAACAAGTTCATCTTCCATTCGCACCAGAGGCATCCGTCGGACAAATGCGTGCAACCGGACGCGGCGAACTTCAATTCGTGGCGACGTCACATGAAGCTCTCCGGCAATCCTCCTGACGAGATCGTGCACGCGTGGGAGGACGTCAAGGCGATGTTCAACGGCGGGACCAGGAAACGTTTATTGAAGAATCCGGCATCGAGAGAATCGCCGATCCAGGCGAAAAAGCCGAGACTGTCTCCCACGGGACAGATACCGGCTCTGGTACCGTCGCCGACGCATCCCAGAGTCCCACCGTTCCCGGAACTGCCTCTGCCGCTGTCCAGGAGCCTGGTCATGGACTACGTCTGGCACCAACATCAGCAGGCTGCCGCCGTCGCCGCTGCCAAGACGCCTGGCTTCCCGTTCCAGCCTTACGCGCTACCTTGGCTCGCCAAGAGGGGTCCTGTCCTCTTTCCTGGTGAGTTCTTCCATCATTCTTTTCATTCTCTTCTTCATCTTCATCGAACGTTCTTTGACATTCGATCCTTTGCCCTCCAAGCTATTTTAACTTCAGAGTCACTCTCTGAAGAGAGTCTAAGTGACTCTAAGAGAGTCACTGCAATCGTTATCACTTTCTCTATCAGAGTCAGTATTCAAGAGGCCAAAATAAAACTCTTCATCGCTATTGTCAGTTTCACCGAACACTTCTTGCGGTAACTTTCTTTTTGCCATTTTGGGGAATTATTTTGGAATATTTTAAGAAGAGAGAATGTCTAATTACTGTTAAATACAGTTTATCAAATATTCTTTGGAATTCTACAAGGTATCGTCGAATGTTGTCGATTTCATTGCGTTCAAAAGACGACTGACTCGCCACTGCGTCTTGCATGGTGAGCGCTGGGTCACAACTTTTTGGTTCGTGAATAGGTTCTTTAGGCATTGAGGTTTGTATAGGAGAAGTGTAAACTGATACATGAATGCATACAGTATACGATTCGTATAGTTCCTTGCTGTGGTGGCTGAGAGCAGACATACGACCGGAACGGTAAAAAGGCTTTGGTGGCTGAGAGTGGACATACGACCGCAGTCGGAGCCATTTTAACTTGAAATCTAAAATAGTTTCTTCCGCCTATAGTATTTCCATTTTAGTGCATTTTACACATGTGAAATTGAATTTTGTGATTTGTGCAACAGTTACACTTTTAACAGTTTTTAAAAAATATAAATTTAATGGAGCCTTAGAGTCGCCATTCGAGTGCAAAGGGATAACTCCAGAACCAAAACATTCCTTTTGATCTACAGCATTTCAAATTTACGATTACAATTTCAATATATACTGCTCGATAAAATTGTAGCATAGAAGAACTTTGGATAAATATTGGCCAAATTTGACCGATGATAACTCCGCGAAAAATGATCGTAGGATGACCATCTTTCTCTCAAAATAAAGCTTGAAACCTCGAGTTTAAGATATTGTTTCTCGATTTCAAGTTCAACGCACCCTCACCTCTGTAACCTGCAACTCTTTAGATGTGAGGCCATATTTGTCATATTGAAAATTGCCAGGTTCGACGAAACGTACAAACTTTGTAAAATTTTTATCGAGGATGCTGCCTCCAGTGGAATTAAGTTTGGTGCTTCCCCTTTAATTCAAAACAAAAGAAACGTGGCTGCGATTTTTGCTCGCAAAGTTACAGCAGTTCAAAGTAACCCTTGCATTTTTGGCATGCGCTCACATTTAAAGGGTGGGACGAAGGTGCGTCGAACTTTAAATCGAAAAACAGACTCTTGAAGTAGTGGTTTCAAGCTTTAATTCGAGAGAAAAATGATAATCCCGCGATAATTTTTCACAAAGACATTCTGTCGTGATCAAATAAATATTATTCTTAGTATTATCATACTTTTAATGTTTCAACGTAACCACAAAAAGTAGAAGGACAATTTTTGAATTACGCGGCTTCCGATTTCGGAAATCAGCTACTTTATTTAATTGTCGAGCAGAATAATCAGGGAAAATTGTGTGAAAATAAAGCGAGGCCGACTGGATTTTAATAGCGCGCCCGAAGCGTTCCCATATATCACGAGCACAGATTACATCGAAGCAGCGTAGCTCATTAGTATAATTACACGGAAAATGAGCGGACGAAAATTACAATGAAAATTATTCATCGGGCCTCGAGCCGGCGACAACGGGTCCGTGCACCGTGGTCTTTAATAATAATTATTAATATCCATTCCAGGGATCCCTCGTTCCCGCGCGTCGCGCGCCGTGCTCCGGTTTTATAACTATTTCAAATGTCTTTCCGGGACTAGCATTAATCAATCGAAAATTATTTTAACTAATAACGGGAGAAATCTCGCTGCCGAACGGACAGCCATTAATTCGCGGGGCCCACGTGCAAAAGCTGTCCGCGCCAATGACAAACACGTTTCGGACGATGAATGGAGCGTATCATTTAGAGAGGGTTAGCGAAACCGTGACTCGCGGCAAATATCGCTGTTTAATTCTCGCAGAGTATTACTAACAATATCGCCGCATCTGATCCTCGGTGCATCGTCGATTTACAAATTCTCCAGCGCGACGAATAATCAATCAGGAATTTTGATCGGTTGTTCTTTTAACGGCTCGATGACCCCTCGTTGATTTCACGATACATTCGTACTGGTTCCGGAATGTACAACGATGAATCGAAGTGTTGTTCCCAGGGCCGCTATATTGCTGACTTTAGCGTGGTATTTTATTTTCCAAAAAAACCCAGTGTAATTGTCGCACTGAGATTGTACAGCACGATTTGCAATTTTAGAGAGATCGAACTTATGTTCCATCGGTGCATCAAATTGTGTATGTCTACGCCAAAAATTAAACATTCAACTGTAACGATGAGACACTATTCAGTTTATCTTGCAAACAGCTGACAAATTAAGAAATAATTGCTGTAAACAGAGACTGCGGATCTGTATGCAAAACAGATTGCGACTACCCAATTTTCCGATAAATGCATAAGGTCGGCCGCATAATGCATAAAATCCAGTAATTATAGTGTATCGCTTACTTATTATATATCAATTATAATATAGAATTTACTTAATATATTAATTGTAGTATAGTATTTACTTAATATATTAATTACGCGGTATAGAATTTATTTGATCTAATTAATAACAAGTTACATGAAGACAACTTTCCTGTTTTAATCATTCTAAGAAGTTGAAAATCATGTAACAATATCCTTAAATTCTTCTGTCTTTACAGTTTTGTATTTGATTCGCTAATTTTTGTCATAAATGCATAAAATCAGTCTAGTTAGAATCAAACTAGAAAAGTCAATGTATATATATATATATATATATATATATATATATATATAGAGAGAGAGAGAGAGAGAGAGAGAGAGAGAGAAAATATCGAATAAAAAGGAGAAGATCTTTAGTGATCGATCTTCCAATATAAACCGCAAACATTAAACGATGATTTAGAAAGTTTAATTTGTTCAATTTTCGCTTAACATAAAAACACAATTGTTAACGTAAATCGTGTATTGGATGTCCAGGACCGTTACCACCGCCAATAAGCGGCTCCAGTCCCACGGAACCACTGCTGCCAACAGTGAACCCGACGTTACATCAATCCGCCTTCCGGCCAGTGATTCGTGGACCGCCCATGATCGAGCCGATCTCTCAAGAACAGCCAGTGGACAAGATGATGACGAGAGAGAACGACGAGAATTCCGACGACGAGGTCGACATCGAGACGACGGAGGATGATCCACTGACGCCACTGGCCACGCAAAATCTTCATTCGGTGCCGAAATCCTCCACCGGAAGCCACAGCGGCCACAATTCACCTCAATGCTGGAGCCCTCCACGAGAAACGGTGAGTAACCTCGCGCGTCCACAAATTCATCACAGAAAGAAATTAAACGGACTGGTGGCGTCCGGAACCCTTTAATTTCTCTGTAACCAAACCTTGTATCTTGTGCCGCTTTTCCCGAAGACATCTCTAGTTAACCGAGGAACGTGAGTAATCATTCATCTACTTTGACAGTACTTTTACCATACGTTTGTTAATCGTAATTTCGATTAATTTCGTAAATTCCGAGATGTGTTTAACAATGGTTCGAAAATCTTTTAGGAATTCCAGCGGTTCGATATTGATGAAAATAGCTTGAAATGAAATGTAATAGATAAATTCTCGAATTGGCGTATATCGAAAAACAATAGTAAATAGTTTATTCTTAAACTGGCCAAACGAACACAGCATACTTATCGAAACAATAAAAGATTAGTATACATTCATCGTATCTATCAAGATTATAATACATTCGTTGTGTATCTGTGATTCTCTAACAAAAATCCAATAGAAGCGAAGTTTGAAAGAAGTTACTTTTTTTAGAAAATAACAGGTATATAACGAGGATTTTTAGGGTTTTAAAGGGTTTTCGTTCAAACATATAACAAAATTTATAAAAGTAAATTTTTAGAAAGGTGTTAACACCTGGCCCGCATATAGTGTGTTAATTGCCTACTCGACGGAAGCAAATGTGAGATTTTAGAAATCAATTTTCTAATTTTTCAACGGCAACCGTCGCGCTGTGCGAGCGTAGAAAGTTCTCAGATTGACCGAATCGGGAAGCAATCCAGAAAAGTGCGTCCCACCGTTCTCATTAATTAATCGCCGTCCCATTAGACCGGTGTTTAGACGCGTGACGGCATAATGTCCCCCGACGACGGCGGCCACGTGGCCATTGTTGCGGCCCCTGCGATCCGAAGTTACCAAAGGCTTGATCGCAAACACACTCGCCGCGAGCGAGCGTGCCCCGAAAAATGTGTCAACCGTCGGCGGGCGCGATTCGCGGTTAAATTCCAATTAGGATGGCCACTTGAGCACGTGATCAAACGTGCTCAAGATTTAACACTAAACCTACCAAGCAGTAATTACGGGAAGATCGAATTTATTTAGATCTCTTGCAATGTTTTCACTATAAAACTTGCTCCGATAATATAATTTATTCGGGCATTTTCCACGAAAGAGTCTCCAAAGTATGCAGAATTGCAAAATAAGGAAACGTGCATTTCGACCGCGGCAGGTTTAGCGTTAAAGGAGCGACCAGCTCTGACCGTTGTTACAACAATACTCCGGTCTACATCTACTATAATCGTCGCGGAGAACACGCCGGACAGATAAAAAAAAAACTAATACATTAAAGCATAACCGTTGGTCATCCTTAATCATTGAGTGGTAAATAAAGCTGTATAGTTCGGTGTCGTTTAATAACGGAGCGCGCTCCTGTTTGATAAAAAGCAGCCTAGGCTCCGCGAGACAGCCCCGACCCTCCGGCGAGTGTCCATAGAAATAACTTTGGGTCACACGACACCGAACAAACAGTTTGACTTCGGGTTAATCGAATTAAACTGTTCCCTGGCAATCCACTGTAATAGAACGCCGGTAATATCATTCGCCCGGCTTCGCTAAAAATATCATTTGCCGATGGAAATATCGAGCGAATCTCTGGGACTCGCGAACCTTCAATTCCACGACGTTGATGGAAATTCTGAAAGAGTCTTTGAACAGAAACACGAATCCATTGGCTCTCGGCGAACTTACAGTTGTCACGTAGATGGACTCGCTTCACTCGATTCGTTTTCCGAATCTCACAAAAACGTCCTATAAGCGTCCCAAAGATTGTTTTGGACCTTCGGAACGTCTTCAACCCTTATTTTTCATTAATTTAATATTCTACCATTCTACTATCTCATACCAAATAGTATTATCTGGATAATGCAATACTGACATATCTTTAAATGTATAAGTTTAAATGGCGTAGCTTTAAATGTATAACTTAAAAAAACATTTAAAAAACATTAGTCAATAAACACGAATACAAAATTTAATGAATATAATATTTCACCACTTTCGAAAATTAAATTATTATTGGGAAAATAAAGCTTTAAATGCTTTCATCTTTAAACTTCATTATCTCGATATATCTCAGTATTGAATTAGAGCAGCGTTTCACTGGAAAAGGCTCGAATCAAAAGGATTAAAATGTCCAACAAACGTCCTACAAACGACATCCGAACGTCTCATGTTGCAAGCCTGATTCTAGATATTTCAATTAACACATACAAAAATAACCTTTTAAAAGAACCTTTTTCCTGAAGTAACACAGATGCTAATTAATAGACCGCGAATTTTATGCATTTAAGGTAAAAATAGATAAGGGAAATATAAAAGAGCGAAGAGACATACAAAAAGTGTAAGAATATTTTTGCGTTACTTTCAATTTATTCAAATTATTAAGAGAAGAAATACATCCGTCTCCTGGTGTTTGCGAGCGATAACTTTACGGTTTTGCATGACGAGACGGAGTCTACTAATTAGTAAATATTTTGTACGATGATTTATCGGGCTTAGTAGCGAGAAAACGTGATATGGAGGTTCACGGAATTGCGATGGAACTTTTGAACGTATCAGAAACGGTAGCCAATATTAATGATCGTCGGTCAAAGCAATCGCGGGGCAAGTAACGGTGAAAGGGAGACAGAGAGAGACAGAGAGAGGGACCTAGAAACAAGAAACAGGGGAACGTAGCCGGGCAGAGGGCGCAAGGGGTGAGAATTGGTGCCACGTAACACTACTCGACGTCCCTAGAATTTGCTCTGCGGTCTGACTGCTCGTGCAGCTGCCCCCCGTCAATTGCGATAATTATTGTGCCAGTAAATACTCGGTAACCGTACGAACTAACGGGCTCGCGCGATCGACTGGATGTAATATACTCATAGTGTGGATACACTTATGCCAGCGATATAATTAAATGAACGGCCGACGTGTTGTTTTGACGTCCGTTGCGTCACGCGTCCCTGCAGGTCGGACGTGTATCGAATCGCTCCGACATTTAATCATTATTTCCTCTATTCGACTGCGGCTCGATTCGCCAGTGCTACAAATTTCGTGCACGCTGTTCGCGAATTCTCTCGAAAATTAATATTAAAAATAAAATGCCCGTACACACCGTTTCGATTTCTCCGAAGCATCAAAAGCATCAGCCACCTAAAAACACCTAATTCGACGAAATATAAAGAGAAAAAGCCTGATTTAACGCTAAACCTACCGCGGTCAAAGTGACCGCTTTCTTATTTTGCAATTCTGAAAAGTTTCGAGACTCTTTCGTGGAAAACGCTTGAATAAGTTATATTATTGGAGCAAGTTTTATAATAAAAACTTCACAAAATTTAAATAAATTTGGTCTTCTCACTTTTGTGAAGCAGTACATGCCAGTTAGTTTAACTGCTTGGTAGGTTTAGTGTTAAAAAAAAAAGAAAGTTAAGATGAAAAGGAATAAGAGTGCACATTTTTTGCTGAATGTTGGATATAGTATTGAGAATGACTTATGGTGGATCTTTCTGAAACCACAGAACTTTCGGCGAGTTTTAGGTTGGATTATTATTTTTACTGATCAGTTACTTTAATTGACAAAATATTTCTATGCTTGAAAACAAAGAAGTAGTAGCACAATTTTTTCAGTTACAAAATAACTGGTCTGTGGATCTTTGTGCAAAAATAAAAATTATTTTAATGAATTGTAAAGAACAGAAGTTTAATACAGGTGTACTTCTTCTCTTAATAATTCAAATTAAAGAGTGAGTAAGAACAATCTTATAGTCTTCTAATATCTTTAATGTTTGGTGTTTAACCTAGTTAATTTTAAGATAAATGCATAAAATGCATAGTATTCCAAAATAATTCTTCGAGTCAACTGCCCAAAAAAATTCTCCAAAATAACATTCCAAGATAATTCCGTAAAATAATTCTTCAACTATAAATCTCGGACAGCGCGGCGGATCATTTTTACAACTGTACCGTCGACAATATTTATAACAATTCTGAGCTTCGCTCGGCAATTTTTCAAAACGTATACTTCAAGGATATAATATAACAGCAACTTATTTTATTTTATTGCCGAAAATTCAGCAAGTAAATGAACGATTTAAATGCTGTGGGACAAAATCGACCTAGCCACCGCCTTGTCAGGGTTACAACAGCAACGTCTTCCTTTCGTGGCACAGTTCCTCGGCATAGGTCGCGCGCGAACTTATGGGAGTAATTTGCCCCGGTCGACGAAAGGAGTACAATTAGCGATAATTATCCGTAAGAGGTAAATGAGGGATTCGTAAAAAAGGAGGAAAACAGATGGGGAGTGGGTTGACCGTGTAACGAGCGGGGAACGGCAGGAAGAAAAGGGAGGAAGGGCGGTAGGCCAGGATAAGCCATCCGAATTGCCAGACAGCTTTTCAATTCCCCCTTGTTGGTGAACGTGTCGAGTGGGGCAGATCCCTGCTTTGTGAACAGACTCGCCAAAATCGCTCTCTGCCTCTCTGTCGCTCCGTCGCTCTGCCATGTCTCTCTTTCGCCTTCTGTCGTCGCTGCTGTGTGGGTAACATGTCGCCCGGGATAGATCCGTGACAAAAGTACACGTACAAGAGGAAACGGAAACCCGGTTACTGCATCCACGCGATACGCTCGCGCAAGTGTATTGCGGTAACTAAGTAATCCCCGAACGTTATTTGCAGTTATTTCTCGCTTCGGCAGGCCGGTTCGCCTTCGGAAAGGAACTGGGCGACCGGTATTTTCATTTTCGCGGGGCTCCTTTTCCCGGACTAACGCGAAATCCGCTCGGCGACAGTGCCTCAAACACAAAAGTAATATTTAGCGAAAACTGCAGGACACTGACAAAGGAACGTAATCTCTTACGAGAGTAGAGCTGGTACCTTCTCACTCGAGTTATATAAACTCGTATAAAACAACTGCTTTTAATGCTCCGTAAATCTAGTTGTAATTTTGATAAATTGAAAATAATGTCGCAATATTATTAA